ACTGTGCTCTGCTCTGTTGAGTGTCCTATGTCATGGCCACTTTGGAAGCCCAAGTACTGGTCAGTTAAGGGTTGCAAGTGCCCAGAGAATGCTGTCACTTCAGCACCCATTTGTTCCACATTCCTGTGTTGGGCACTCGGTGTAATTTTCCTCAACTGGTTGATCACGAAGGAATGTTTGCGATTCCACTGAGATATGCAGATGTGGCCGCCTTGTGAGCTGGGGGCAGGAAGGAGACTGTGGTACGAGAAGGCTCAGTGTCATCACAGGCAGCATTGTTACTGAGGGGCCACAGAACTGACACTCACACCACGCACTCGCCGGAGCTCATGTCGTTTTCACCACAGAAGAAACACGAGGTTAATTCCACTCCCTTGATCTGGTCTCACTTTCAGAGTTTTTTATTTAAAGATGTATGTTTGTATGTATTTGAAAGACAAAGAGTCTGTGCGACATATAGACAGAGATCTTCCATTTGCTGGTTCACTCCTCAAATATGCACTACAGCTCTGGCTGGGCCAGGCTGAAGCCAAGAGCCAGAATCTCCATGCAGGTCGGCCACGTGGATGGCAGTAAGTCATCACCCACTGTTCCTCGGGTGTATTAGCAGGGAGCTGGATCTGAAGCAGAGTAGCTGGGACTCTGATGTAACCTGCTGTGCCACAATGCCCACCCCTCACTTTCAGAGTTCTGATGAAGCGTCTGAGCTAGGATATGTGTGTGAAATGTGCAGACCGCATCTTTCTAGAAGCACAGAAAGGCAAGAGTTATGTGCACCCTGTATTCAACTGTGGACTTCGGAATATTCACCGTCCAGTAAAATATATTCTGAGGAGCATCTCGGAAAATTTGTTTTTGCCATCACAATCATTCCAGTCACAGACGTGCACATCCCATGATATCACACATGCTGGTAGGCTGCCATCATCCAATCCAGATAACCTCATTCCAGGTAAAGCATATTTCCACACATATCCTTTTCCTGATTTCATGTGTGTAGTTAAAATCACAAAACTGGAGCCAGCGCTGTAGCCATATGGGTACTGGTTCACGTCCCGGCTGCTCCACTTCCGATCCAGCTCCCTGCTAATGGCCCGGATAAAGCAGCAGAGAATGGCCCAAGTGCTTGGGCCCCTGCACCCACATGAGAGACCTGGAAGAAGCTCCTGGCTCCTGGCTTTGGCCTGGCACAGACCAAATGGTTGCAGCCATTTGGGGAGTGAACCAGTAGAGGGAAGGTCCTCCCCCCACCCTGCCACCCCATAACTCTTTCAAATAAATAAATTTAATAAATCACAAACTTGTAACTATATTTGAATTCAAGTCAGCTTTATTTTTGTACCTGCTAGGCAAAAGTAATTTTTCACAGGAACTAACTGGACTTCAGACAGGTAAGATTTTCATCATTTGACTTGTCTTTCATCTTTGTCTGACATTTATTAAGTAGGTACTGTACTTACCTCTGCACAGAATGTGATGAAATTCTTTCCCGTAACTTAAATACTTAGTAACGTGGCCTTTATTTTCTAATTAACTCATCCAGAATAAGGACAACTATTCATGTGAATAAAGTTGATTTTAAATGTATGCTGCTATTAATTCTACTGAAAGAGCCAAAGTTTACGGCTGGTTCTACACAAATCTAACAAAAACGGTAACACCCGACAAACAGCTAACGCAGTTAGCAACGTGATGGTCTCTTTCTTACCTTTGTATGAGGAAGCTTCTGGAAAAATATTTTACAAGATGCCCTTAATTTGATAGAAAATTTTGACGGAAGAGTATTTCAGGGATGAGAGAGCTGGAATTAAGGAACAGGGCGGGCGCATTTGGTGCGGTGGCTAAGGCATCACCAGGGATGCCTCCATCCCTTACCGTGGTGTCTTGGTTCAAGTCCAGTGCTGCTGTTGATCCCAGGTTCTTGCTGATGCATCCAGGAGGCAGTAGATGATGGGCCCAGCTGTTGGGTCCCTGCCACCCACAGCAGAGACTCAGATGGAGCTCCAGGCTCCTGTCCAGCTGTTGAAAGCATTTGGAGAATAAACCAGCAGACAGAAGTCCGCTGCCTTTCTCTCTCTCTCAGTGGTAATTGTTGTTTGATGATATTTCAAGATTTCTTAGAATTTTGAGAAAACGGAATATGTGTAGCTCAGTATTTTTAAAACCCACGCCAACCATGATGGGAAAAGAGCTTTTCTCGTGTCATTTTCCTAACGGGGCCCAACCCGAGCACCCCAATTTACCTGAGCACCGCCCCCCTATGCAAATCCAACACCATCTTTTTTCCATTGAACTTTCTTATTCCATAACAGTTTGATCATCTAACATACTTCGATGTTTATATCCCTGTTATATCTGGTTTTTTGTATGGCTGCTCCTTCTATGCTTACACACTTGATACAAACTTCAAAAACCACGAACCTTCTTGGTTTTTCCCCCCTCAATGTATCTTAAGCTCCTAGAGCACAAAATAAATAATTGCTGAACGAATGCAGGTATATGTGAATGGATGAATGTCATCCATGTCATTGTACAGGACTCCAACAGTCTGGACACTGAGGTACTAAAAAATAATAGCAACTACCAAAGGCGAAACAGTCTTTGAATGCCGTTATGTATTTCACTTAACCTTCGTAACAACCTTGCCCGGTAGGCTTCTTTATCCTCATTTTTAACATGAGACCAAAGTCAGAGTTCCTCAGTGCCAGGGCTAGAACAGGAACAAAACTCTCTGCTTTAAAAAATAGTCCAACCGACAGAGCCTACTTTGGAACAAATATTCCTCTGGAATTTGAGCTGCTATTTTTGGCTTCACTGGGAGATTTTTCAGAGCCATGTTTTTGTTTCTCTTTCATTTTTGAGTAGCTGATCTATTTCCATGGTTGACAAAGAAAAACAGCACACAAAGGCATCCACCTACCCCGGGACCTGGCTCCCACCGGCCCTCTCTCCACACCTTTTGCTGGGTTACAGAGAACCCTTTCTACCGGTCTACACTGGGGCTGTATCTAAGGCAAAAGAACAGAGCATCCTCATCTTTTTCCTTCCTTACATATACAGAAGTTCACTATACATGAAAGCCCGTATGTTCAAGGTCAGTGGGTCTCAGTAAGTAATTGCTCTTCCCTTTGATGTATTTGTAAGAAAAGTTGGTCTGAATCACTTATTAATCTTTGGCTAATAGCTCTTTTAAGGGAGGCAAATCTTCCTGTGACATTTGATTGATATTATTAATAATTGAGGACTTCAAAGGAAGTCGAAGGACGAAGGTGTCTGTAGTGTTCTTAAATCAGTTTTACTTTCATATGCACTAATTAAAAAGGCTACTGCTGCTATGTTGAAGAGTTATTTTTGAAAGATTTTTATAACCTCGGCACAACATGGCACATAAGTCAGAGTTCCTACCTTCTGAGTTGAAATGTTATGGCTGCACTGGATTATGGTAGGAATCCAAGATTCAACATCATAACTCTGATACACTGCCAATAATTTTCCTCCCCAAAGCTTGAACATATCATTTTCTTCTAAGCACAAAAATGGTGAAATCCATTCTGTGAAAATACAACCTAGTGTCTGGGTAGCTACTGTCAGTGGCACGATCCTCACTAGGTATTTGAGCATCTTCTGGGACAAACTGGGTTCTGAGACACAGGGACCCAGCAGCCACACATGTCCCTGTGCTTGGAAGGACCTCAGGTGTGGCTATTGATGCGCTGCGGTCACTCTCTTGAATTGTTTTTTCCTTCATTGTTTTATCTGAGGCAGAGACAGACAGACACACACATGGAGAGACCATTTTCATATTCTGCTTTACTTCCCAAATGCCTGCAGCAGTCCAGGCTGGGCCATGCCAAAGCCAGGAGCCAAAACCCAATCCAGGTCTCTCAGGTGGGTGGCAGGGACACAGGTACTTGAACATCACCTGCTGCCTCCCCAGGGTGCATCAGCAGAAAGCTGGACTCAGGATTAAACCCAGGTGGGGCAGGCAATGTGGCGTGGTGCGTTAATCCACCGCCTAGGATGCCTGCACAGGTCAGAGTGCCAGCTGCTCTGCTTCTGATCCAATTTCCTGCTACTGCATATCCTGGGAAGCGGCAGATGATGGTGCAATTATTCAGGTCCCTGCCGCCCATGAGGGATACCTGGATAGAAGCTCTTGGTTTCTATTTGCAGCAAGCCTGGCCGTTGCCTCCTTTGGGGAGTGAAGCAGCAGATGGAAGACTTGTCTGTCTCCCACCTCTGATGATCTGCCTTTTAAGTAAATAAATATTTTTAAAGAATAAAATAAAAACACTAGCTTTTGGAAGAACAAAAAGGAGAGATTTTTAGGAAAGCCTATATATCATTGGTTCTGGTGTTGTATTTGCATAACAGATAAGCAGGCAACTTTATGGGGATTGTTGGGTACCCATGATAGGTAAATTTGATTAGTTATAATGATGAGTTCAGTATCGGTTTCTTCTCATTACAACCCCAGTGACTCCATCTTCTGTCTGGTTCCTCCCCTCCCCCACCTAAGACAAAATCAACTCAAAGCCAACAGCTCCCCGGAGCAGCAGGATTTACTACAGGACGTATCTATAGGAGCAGGTAAATTAACCGCCCTCAAAGGCCTGAGACCTGGCTCTTCCTTTATAGGAAAGACAGCAACGACTTGTCCCCCAGAGTAGAGCACACACTGTGTTCTTCTTGCATTACTGTTGGCTTTCTCAGAGCAGGATTTTCGGGGTGCTGGCAAGTCCCCCGGAGGAATCCAGGTCAGAGGGTCCTCCTTTCGGAAGGGGTATGAATAGGACAGAGGGTGAGGGATAGCGCATGCTCTTTTAGGGGCCCTAGAAATGCTGTTGGAGCAGAGCACTTGGTGTTCAGTTCAAATAAGGTCTCACTTTGAATAAAAAAAATGTTCAGTTCATGGAGAAATTCATTTTCTGCTTTTTTCTAAGTATACATGAAAATGACATACACAGAACTTGCTCAAACTGGTAATAAGGTATCAGTGATGAAATGAACAAAAGATAACCGGTTTATTTACTGGAAAAAGTTAAGCATGACATCATATTCCATTGGGTGACATAAATCAAGATATAGGGATTGATATATTGGCTCCTCATTGTTTTATTAGCACCGGAGTGCCTTTTCCAACCATAGAGAGTATGATCAGGTACACAATACAAGCACATAGAGCAAATGGCTTCTGCCATGAGACACTTAGGATTGTCTATAATAAAAAAAGAAAATGAAGAAGACAAGCAATATTAAATCATAGGAATTCTTTGAATAAATGTATGTCTTTGAGAACATTTTCTTTGAAGTTAGGATATTTAGAAAGAATTAGCAACAAAAAAGCATCTTGGGTCAGTCTTTTAGTCATGTTTTCATGTGGTATTATTATTATTAGGTGGAAACTCTTCACATTACATAATCCCAAAGGGCGTAAGAATAAACCTGCAATTAAAGGTCAGATTAGCTGAATCAGTACAACGATCATACAGTATACAAATCAGGGTTGGCCACACATGATACAAATGTTAATATGAGAAAGAAATACAATACCAGAATCATGTTTGGTTCATCACATATGCATGATCACACAAATAAAAACACTGACTTGAATACCAAAGTGCCATAAAACATTTTCAAAGAAATGTTTAGTTGACTAACAGTCAACCCACTGAGTTTTAAATCTGTGGCAATAATGTTAAAATGGTTATCTCTCCTTGAAGATATGTAGCACAATCACATCCACGAAGCCCATGATTCATTCTGTATCTCCGTGATCAGTGAAAGACAATTTTCCTACAAAATGATGACACTTCCCTTTACTTGACAGCTCCATGATCTGTGTTTGAAAACGACTGTTTAAAAAGAAAAACATGTTCCCACTAAGAAGCATCAGATTAGCTTCTCCATGTTTTCATCGGAGAACCCTAATGATCAGAGAATCATTCTCAAAGAAGTTCAAATGAAAATGTGCTCTCAGTTAACGGTCTACAGTAACTAAACTCCTTTCAGAGACATAACCTGGCTCAGCAGTGTAGCCAGGCTTCAGTTAAAACAGGGCAAATTTCCACTAACCCCAGAGGAAAGGGATGAATATACACTGAGGCCTGGAACCATGCATTTCAGTACAGAAACGAGAGCAGACAGAGGGAAGCATCTCCTGACATCCCTAACGGAGAGATCACAAGAGAAATGAGTTCTGTAGCGTGTTTTCTGAATACAGGAAAGCTTCCATGATGTGAAATAACTCACGCAAACACTTTACCGCATACCTCTATGCTCTCCAGCCCTTGCACTAAAGCAGTCTAAGTGCTCCTCTTAAACAGAATATGTTTCTGTAAAATCCTCAACTGGAGAACCTAGCTGAAGCTAAAACATTAGTTCAATTACATTTGGAGTAGTAAAGAAAAAAGAGAGGTCCCGTGGAAATCTTTCTGGTGTCAACACAGTAGAATCAGGCTACAGATACAACTCCTCAGGGACTATGGCAGTTAAAATTGCCACTGGAATAAAGATGAACTCAACTGCTGACACGACTCATCTGGGAGCATTACTGCAGATGGTGGAAAAGGTCGCTCGGGAGCTAGATTGGTCTTGTGTGTCCATAGAAATTGATGTCAAACTAAAAAACTGTTCCGATCAGCACTGATCAGAAGTTACGTTTGCCTTGCTCAAACACACGTTCTTGAAACTCTTCGCAATCTCCAAATACAAGCTTCACTTTAAATCACTCTGGCTTATAAACAGAGAACTGGAGAGTCAACCTTTTAAAATTATGACCTTTACCTAAGAGTTTCTTTCCAGCCTAGTCCTACTGGACATCTACAAGATCAAAGCTTGTGTGGCATCCCTGGGTGGAGCCAGCTGTTCCTCAGTGGAAAACCACAGGTTTCCCCTGGGGGTCTTTCTGAGGCAGATTCTATCTTTTGGCATGACAATTATATGTTACATTTGCATTTCATTTCTCCTTTTTCAAGTTTTGTAATTTCTGCCTGAAAACAGTACAGGATTTTAAACAGCAGATTAAGAAATTTCCACATCCTTAGTTTACTGGACCAATGTGTCGTACTTGTGTGATACAGAATTTATCTTTTATAGGGTATTCTCCACAGCACGGAGAAAGCCAGTGTTGTAGAGTGAAGATCCTTTTGAGAAAAGATAAAATTTGAGAAGCATTTCCTCCACCTAAGGGGTTGCATACCTTCTATTTCTGGACTAGTCCCAAGAAATTTGGGTTTCTAGACTTTGACAATTGAGTTTTTTTTTTTTTTTAATAGCAAAATCACTACATTCTGGACAACTCTGAAAATATTATGAAATATAGCTGCAAAAAATCAACTTTTTTTGAACCATGTATCTTGCAAAAATTAAGATTGCTATCCTACTGTCAAAGGATAAACTCTTTTATGACTAGCCAGTAAAACTTCAATGTATCTTAAATTTTAAAATAAAAGGATCACAAGATCATGGACTCCCAGAATTGTACTATTTTAAGATATCTTAGCACTTACTGCTTACTAAATACCAAATACTCAACTTAAAACCTTCCTTTTGGTTATGGACTTCAATGATTAACTTTCCATTCCTACATATCTTTTTCCTAGAGTTAATGTAAATCCTACACACGAAGCCTTTCTTACTCTGTTCTCAGAGGTGATACCTTTGGCTCGTACGCATCACTTATTCAATTCTCTTTTCTTGAAGCTCACTGCTGTACCTTTTCTTGTTAGGCTAAGCAGAGTGTAATTTCTCAACAGGTCCTTTCCCAATCATTGAATGACTTGGTGTTCTCAGTTCCCCAAATCCCTTTCACTGCAGTCTAGAACTGGATCCTCAAAGGGGTCTGGAGAATCCGGAGTTCACTGCGGTTAAACCAAGGTCCGTCACGCTCCAGGCCACAGCAGGTGACTGGTCCCTTCTAGTTCCATTTAAGAAAAGCGTTCTGCATAGGAGCTATTCTTTTCAGTATTATAATTGTGCTTACTTTAAAAAACTACCTGATTCCTTAGCTAACCACGAGTTACTTTTAACCTGCGTTCATTGTGTCTGCCCGGTTAGCCGGTAATTCAGTCTTGGTTCTACAGTCTGCATTTCTTCCCGGGGGATGTCTCCAATTAGTCTGAGGTTCACTGCTTCTGATTTCCACTAGTTCTTCTGTTTTACAGTTTCCTTTTGAATCCTGATGTTACCTTTGCAGGTACTGATTTTGGTCACTACCACACAGATCTATTCACTTGAAAGGTTTATAAACAAACACAGCTCCCACTCTGTTTTAGCTACTAACTGACGCCACAATGGAAATGCATGGTATCTTGTCTTCCTGCGTAGGCACTGTCACCCACTTTTGTGCTGAAAATGAGAACTGTATTGCCACGTTTCTGGATCTTCTTGGCGAAGTTTTGCTAAACTTAAGATTTTCAGAAAACTAAAGCATTTCCCATTCCGTGAAGATCTGAGATAACACCAGACCATACTAGACTTAATGGTAAGTTTTGCACTGGAAGAAATGAAAGGTTCTGTAACGACCTGGCTTTTTGTGGGGCCGCCGATCCACAGTAAGGGAACAGGAGCACGACAGCCTACTGAGGACGGGCCGACAGCCCTGCAGGCCCACGGAACAACACTGACAGGATGTTCTGAGGTACTTCTCAAAAAGGCATGTTCTCCCTCAGGCACCACGAGTTTTTATTAAAAGTCAACCTAGCAGCTACGTCCCTTCTCAGGTCTAAACACATGGTGCTTGAAAAAGGAAAAAAGAAAAAGAAACAGCGCAGACAGGGGCAAGCTTTCCCGAGCGGGGCTCGGGCTCGGGCCGCACCGTCTCGCGGGCGGGTACGGGGCCGGCGGCAGCAGGGCAGTGCAGGCAGCACAGAGCAGGCAGCCGGGCTGCGGGGAGCAGCACGGGACGGAGACTGGTTTTGTTTCTGTTTCTGCTCGTTCGCCTGAATCCCTGTTTGCGTGAAGTTCTCAACTGCTTCCTCCCAGCTGCACTCCTGTAACTGCAGCACTTCTTGGTTGCTTTGGTAACAGTGACCAGCACTTAGCGGACCTGTGGCTGATCCGAGTCGCCTGTCCAGTGCTTTCCAACTTACCCTTGGCCTCCTGGGGCCACCTACCCCGGTAAGCCCACGCCCTACTGTTGGGTCTACAGTGTTAACTCCCCTGTGTGAACAGTCAGGATGGTTTTGCGTTTCCAAGAGAAGTTACGTGGAAAGTGGTAAAACCTTTATGGTTCTAAATATGTTAAGGCAACCGGAAAGCAAGCACTCAGCACGAGCAGCCACTGTGGGAAGCCCTTGAGAGTTAAGGAGCCCGAAAGTGTTAGGCCTTTCAGCGCAACAAGCCGCCTTCCTTGTCTGTCGGTTATGAGCAAAATAAACTTCATTATGAAAAGCCACTGCCTTAAACCGAGTCACACACGCACCCAGCAGAATCTGTGAACGCATCAGGAACAGCTATTATTTCAATACAACAGGAGGGCTGTAGGCACCTGAGTGTTTGTCAAAGGTAGACAGTGAGCTAAGGTTTATTATCTCTTCTTTTTGGCAAGGAAGATTCACTATGAAAAAAATATAACAAAACATACCATTTGAATCAAGATCTGAACACTTTCTGGGTAAACTAATCAGTCAACGGCTAACTTGTATCTACCTATCTGTGTATGTTTGCATCTATACTTGATAATTTTTAGCAGGAAAGATTCATGGTAGAACCCTAAATTTGGGAGTATGGGAGGAGTAAAAAAAATTCAGGTCACTAACTACACCATGTTTTCCCTTCAAGTTCTTTAGCCTTCTTTGACATTCAGACACACACACACGCACACACACACACACACACACACAGGGGCAGCACCAATACATCTACTCAATTGCATTAAAAATCAAATTGAAAACTCGAATAAGTCAATGAATCATAACTTAGTCTCTCTCTTAGATTTACTTAATAATGTTCAGTGAAGAACTCTAGTTTAAAATAAAAAAAAAACCAGCAGTTAATGAGCTACTGATTAGGAAATAAGTGCACAAACGACATCAGCGTAGCAGCAAAACACAGGTACTGTTACCATTCGGATGCACCTCCCTTCTCATCTTGTGCAAGAACACGGACCCCCACCCAGCCAATTCCAGGTTCAAGCTAACTCAAAACTCAGACATAACTGAGTAGATGATGCTTCCTTGAAAATGAATGAATTAAATTCACCTCTCGCCGAAGTTATTTTTATAGACATAAAACATAGAGCAGAGAAAGTACAAAATAAATATGCAAGATGAAAGCTACTGGAATCAACTTCTACAGCCGAATCTGGAGTGAGGAAAGATGACGTCCCAGTACAGGCATACAACGTGGTCGCGGGTCTCTCTCATGCTATGGAGGCCAAGTCAGCAGTCTGACATAGGTGTTTCCTGCGTCCTACTTGCATTTTGTCTTGTAACTGAACTGTATTCATTCGATGGCAGAAGTGTACGTGTGACCTAGGGAAACCACGAGATCTTGTCACTCCAGGGTCTCTGCTTCGGCTCAACCTTCTCCGTCTTCCACGCGATGGGCGTCCATCCAATCACACGTCCAACAAGTGAGAAGCAGCTATCCGCTGGACCGTGGGCAGTGTCCCGCGTGTGGCCACCAGGCTTTCACCCCAGGTGCTCGTCCACGGGAGATGCAGACTAGGGGTAAGGAGGCTTGGACAGACAGTGGAGGGGGGCGCACTGGGAGCTGCCCGGCGGCTGCTCCTCGGGGACGGCTGCATCAGGACTGGAAAGGAGAAACAAAGCCGTGAGTGAGGAGCCAGCGGCCAGACACGCCTGCAAGGTTCAGACAGTTACAGTCGCGCCAAGTTCAGCGACACGACTGGAAATTCTGCCGAAAGCACGGTCCCCGTCTAAAGCATGCCGGGACACCTGCGGCACTGCAAAACCAGACACTGGAAACAAAACTGGTGCACGAGGTGTAGCAATTAGCTTGCCCGTGTCCCCCACCTGCGGGGACACAGAGCCAGGACACCGGATCTGACTCCAGCTTCCTGCTAATGCAGATCCTGGAGGCGGTGGTGACGGTTCAAGTCCTAGGGTGCCTGCCACGCATGTGGGAAACCTGGATTGAACTCCAGTTCTGAGCTTCGGCCTTGCCCAGCCTGGGGACTTGTAGGCAGCTGGGGTATAAACTGGCCGATGGGAGCATTCTGTCTTTCTGCCTACCAAACAAATCAGTAACAACAATAAATAACAACAATAAATAACAACAATAAATAACAACAATAAATAAAAAGCTCTAAGAAGAAACATGAAATGTGTTAGGGAAGAGCCCTACGAATGCTCCCCCGGAAGCTGCTCTTCCTGACAAAGACGTCTGATGCAGTAAGTGTAGGACTGAGACACTACATTCCTTTTTATTTTTGACAGGCAGAGTGGACAGTGAGAGAGAGAGACAGAGAGGTCGGTCTTCCTTTGCCGTTGGTTCACCCTCCATGGCCACCGCGGCTGGCGCACCGCGCTGATCCGATGGCAGGAGCCAGGTACTTCTCCTGGTCTCCCATGGGGTGCAGGGCCCAAGCACTTGGGCCATCCTCCACTGCACTCCCGGGCCACAGCAGAGAGCTGGCCTGGAAGAGGGGCAACCGGGACAGAATCCGGCGCCCCGACCGGGACTAGAACCCGGTGTGCCGGCGCCGCAGGCAGAGGATTAGCCTAGTGAGCCGTGGTGCCGGCCGGCCGAGATGCTACATTTCTAATGGGCTCCCGCAGATGCTGCCAGTGCCCCAGAGATGGGAGGACTCCAGTTCTCTGCCTCGTCCAGATTCTGCAGAACACTCAACTTCCTGTGGAAGGCAGGTGCTCCCTGCTGGGCTTTTTCTTCTAAGATTTTATTTGTTTATTTCAGATGCAGAGTTACAGAGAGAGGGGGCTTCCATCCACTGGTTCACTCCCCAAATGGCCACAACAGCCACTGTGCTGGCCCCTCCCTGCTTATTTCCGCTTGGTGGTGTAAAAGTGACTGAAGGGGGATAGGTGGTGCAGTGTATTAAGCTGCCACCTGCAGTGCTGGCATCCCACATGGGCGCTGGTTCAAGTCCCAGCTGCTCCGCTTCTAATCCAGCTCCCTGATAATGGCTTGGGAAAGCAGCGGAAGATGGCCCAAGTGCTCGGGCCTGTGCATCTATGTGAGAGATATGGATGAAGCTCCTGGCTCATGGCTTTCGCCTGACCCAGCCCAGATTTATTTATTTAGTAAATAAACAGAGTTATTGAGAGAGAAGGAGAAACAAAGAGAGGGAGATCTTCCAACCACTGGTTCACTCTCCAAATGGCTGCAATAGCTAGGGCTGGGCCAGGCTAAAGCCTAGAATTTCACCCAGGTCATCCATGTGGGTACAGGAGCCCAAGCACTTGGGTCACCTTATTCTGCTTTGCCAGGCACATTAGCAGGGAGCTGGCTCGGAAGTGGAGCAGCTGGCACACAAACTTGCACCCAAAGAAGATGCCAGTGTTACAAGAGGAGGCTTAACCCACTAGGCAAAAATGCCAGCCGCAAGCCTCCATTTTAAATTTTACTTATTTGAGAGGCAAAGAGATAGAGAGAGGAACAGACAAAGCAAGAGAGTGCCCATCCACTGATTCACTTCTCAAATGCCCACACCTGCCAGGCTGAGGCCAGGCTGAGGCAGGATGCTGGGAGCCTCATCAGGGACTGCCCTGTGAGTGGCGTGGACCATGTATGTGCGCCGTCCCCTGCTCCCTCCCCAGGTGCACATTAACAGGAAGCTGGAATCCAGAGCCAGAGCTAAGAACGGAACATAGGTGCTCCATTCGGGATGCAGATGTCTTAGCCACCAGGCCAAAGGTCCACCCCGAGAGCCTCCAGCTTACATGTATCACACTCAGGCTCCGGAGGGTCTTCATAACTAATGCTGATGATGAGGGAGAAAATCATTGAGTTCCCTAGGACAACACTACACATCTGGATTCAGACAACACTACACATCTGGATTCAGATTATTTTAAATGCGACTAGAGGTGAGGAAATCCCCCATGAAGATTTTTTTTTTATTGAAAAACATTTTTTAAAAATATTTATTTATTTGAAAGGCGGGGGTGGGAGGGAGAGAGAAAATGAGAATCTGAATCTCCCATGCGCTGGTTCACTCCCCAAATGGCCGCAACTGTCAGGGCTAAGTCAGGCTGAAGCCAGGAGCCTGGAACTCCACCCAAGTCTCCCACGTGGGTGCTGGGGTCCCAGGGCTTGGCTCATCTTCTACTGCTTTCCCATAGCAGAGAGCTGGATGGGAAGAGGAGCAGCCGGGTCTCAAATCGGCGCCCACATGGGATGCGCACTTGAGGCCAGGGCGTTAACCTGCTGCACCACAGCTCTGGCCCCTTCCCCTGCCTTTCAAATAAATAAAAATCTATTTTTTTTTTTTTTTTGACAGGCAGAGTGGACAGTGAGAGAGAGAGACAGAGAGAAAGGTCTTCCTTTTGCCGTTGGTTCACCCTCCAATGGCCGCCGCGGCCGGCGCGCTGCGGCCGGCGCACCGCGCTGATCCGATGGCAGGAGCCAGGAGCCAGGTGCTTTTCCTGGTCTCCCATGGGGTGCAGGGCCCAAGCACCTGGGCCATCCTCCACTGCACTCCCGGGCCACAGCAGAGGGCTGGCCTGGAAGAGGGGCAACCGGGACAGAATCCGGCGCCCCGACCGGGACTAGAACCCGGTGTGCCGGCGCCGCTAGGCGGAGGATTAGCCTAGTGAGCCGCGGCGCCGGCCCAAAAATCTATTTTTTTAAAAAATAAAGGATTAACATGAAAATGCTGCAAGGTTTTGTCATTTAAAAAGTCACAGACACTAAGGTTAAAGCCCTGACCTGCAGCACTGGCCTCCCATATGGGCGCCGGTTTGAGTCCTCTTCTAATCCAGCTCCCTGCCAACGTGCCTGAAAAAGCAGCAGAGGATGACCCAAGTTCTTGGGCCCCTGCACCCACATGGGAGACCTAGAAGAAGCCCTGGGCTCCTGGTTTCAGTCTGCCCCAGCCCTGGCCACTGTGGCCATTTTGGGGAGTGAACCAGCAGATGGAAGATCTCTCTTTCTCTGTTTCTACCTCTCTCTAGAACTCTTTTTCAAATAAATAAAATAAATATTTTTTAAAAAAGAATTTAAAAAAAGTAAATAAATAAGGGGTGGCACCGAGGTGTAGTTGGTTAAGCTGCTGTCTACAATGCTGGCATCCCATGTGGTCACCAGTTCAAGTCCCAGCTGCTCCACTTCTGATCCAGCTCTCTGCTATGGCCTGGGAAAGCAGTAGACGACAGCCCAAGTGCTTGGGTCCCTGCTCCCAGGTGGGAGACCCAGAAGAAGCTCCTGGCTCCTGGCTTTGGCGTGGCCCAGCCTTGGCTGTTGGGGCTATTTGTGGAGTGAATCAATGGGTGGCAGGTCTCTTTCTTCTCTCCCTCTCTCTGTAGCTCTGCTTTTCAAATAAAATAAATATTTTTATAAAAAAGGCAAATCAATAATATTTCAAAGAAAAGAAAAGAAGGTACCCCTGAGTCTCTTGCGGCTGGGTGGCTGGGAAGCCAGGGGAGCTTCACCACAAACTCCCCCAGTCTATGAATCTGCAGGACTTCAGTTACGGCCAGCGTGGTGGAGTGGGCACTTTGTGCAGGGTGCACTCTGCTGACCTCATGTAGTTCAGTACTCGGATTCTCTCTGTTTCTTTTTCTACCTCATAGGGGTGGAAGAGGAGTTTTTGTTTGTTTGTTTGTTTGTTTGAAAGGCGGAGCAACAGAAAGAAGGGGGGTGGGTGGGTGGATATTTTCTGTTCAGTGGTTCACTCTCAAAATGCCTTTCACAGCTGGGATTGAACCAGGCAAAGGCAGAGGCCAGGAGCTCCATCTGTTTGTGACATGGGTGGCAGGGACCCAAGTACTTGGGTCATTATCTGCTGCCTCCCAGGGGCATTAGCAGGAAGCTGGATGGGAAGTGGAGCAGCCCAGCCTTGAACCAGGCACTGTGATATGGGATGCAAGAACTCAAGTGGCAGCTTACCCTGACGCTACAACACCCACCCCTCAAGGCTGTTCTTGATAAAGGAGGACAAAGGTTCCAGCTTGACCGTCTGGCAGGTGTCCCCGGAGCCAAGACGCAGGTGGTGGCTTGCCAGACCCAACACCTTGGCTTTATGTCATTAGTGATGATTTAAATTTGGTTTCACTATTCCAGATTTCTCAAAGCCAGATTTCTGTTTTATAGCATAGTATTACTATTTTAACTTGTATAAAATGCAATCATATTGTGCACACTATGTACTGACAATCTGAAAGAAGCATATTATTACGGGTGGGCAATGTGGCACAGTGGATGAGGCCACAACCTGGGGTGTTCATATCCCATACTGGAGTGCCTGGGTTTCAGTCCTGGCTCCTTCACTTCCAATCCAGCTCTCTGCTAGTGCACCCTGGGAGGCAGCAGATGATGGCTCAATGCTTGGGCCCCTGCCACCCACGAGGGAGACCTGGATGGCACTTCCAGCTCCTGGCTGTGGCCTGGCTCAGCCCCAGCTACTGCAGGTATCTGGGAAGTGAACCAGGAGATGGAAGAGCTCCCTCTAATCTTCTTTGCTGCTTTGCCTTTCAAGTACATGAAAATTGGCAAAGTGGGTTAAGCTACTGCTTGTGCTCCTGGCATCCAATATAAGCATCAGTGCAAGTCCCAGCTGCTCTACTTCCGATCCAGCTCACTGCTGAAGTCCCTGGGACAGCAGTGGAAGATGGCCCCAGTGCCTGAGCTCCTGCGACTACATGGGAGACCCACAAGAAGCTCCAGGCTCCTGGCTTTTGCCTGGCGCAGCCCCAGCTGTAATGTGCCTGGGAAAGCATGTTACATACATGTATATGTGCTGCTGAAGCAAGCACAGCACATTACACACGTGTAGGACACTAGCTGGAGCTCCTGTTCCTGGCATAGGCTGCTGCAGCCACCTGAGGAGTGAACCAGCAGATAGAAGATCGATATTTCTCTGTAACTCTGCCTTTCTAGTAAATAAATAAATCTTTTTTAAAAAATGAAGAACTATTTATTTGAGTAGCTGTTGGCCTGAGACATTTAGGATGCCCACGTCTGCAGCAGAGTGGCTGGGACCCTGTGGGACGCTCTGCTCTGCTATGTGGCTGTGCTGTCACAGTCCCTGGCCCCAGTGTGGCCTCGTGTGAGGCCCTGAACTGGCTGCTTCACGTCCCCAGACCCAGGTTTCTGCATTGTCACACAGACGTATAGCTGTGCCTTCCTAATGGGGGCCGGCAGCGATGCACGTGTGCAAAGAGCCGTGCCCTCGTCTGGGCCATCTAAGAGTCCACATGTTGTCTAGGGAAGAACTTCTCTGCCAGGAAGGGGCCAAAGGGCAGTGAAGGCACTGGCAGGAAGGAAGCCAGGCCCACTCTCAGCGGCTCTGACACGGCCCCTCTTCAGGATGCTGCCTGTGCCTCAGCAAGGAGCAGTGACAGCCATTCTGGGCCATGCGGTGTGCACACAGGGAGACACTAGCAACAGTCACCATCAATTCACTTGCTTTTCTTTCTCATATTTTTTATTTATTTTCATTTTATTTGAAAGAAGGGAGGGAGAAGGGGAGAGGGGGAGAGGGGAAGAGACAGAGACAGAGACAGATCTTCTATCTGCTGGTTCACTTTCCAAATGCCCATAATAATTGGGATTGGGCCAGGCCACAGCAAGGAGCCCAGAACTCAATCCAAGTCTTCCACGTGGATGACAGACCCAAGCATTTGAGTCAGCACCTGCTCCCTCTAAGGGTACACATCATCAGGAAACTGGCATTGGAAGCAGAGTCGAGATCGAGCCCAAACCCTGCGGCAGGAGATGAGGGCGTCCCAGGCGGTGTCCTAACCACAGTGTCCTATGCCCAGCCCCCTGGCTGCTGAGGGCGTCCCAGGCGGTGTCCTAACCACAGTGTCCTATGCCCAGCCCCCTGGCTGCTGAGGGCGTCCCAGGCGGTGTCCTAACCACAGTGTCCTATGCCCAGCCCCCTGGCTGCTTTCTTTATGGTACATCATCCCTGTGCAGGTGGCAAGGAACTTAACTGTGCGCGCTCACAAGGCATGGAGCCAGGCACGCAACTCTCCAGTCAAACTGGTTCTCAGAAAAGAAATACGATTCAAGTTACAAAGATTCAAGTTACAAAGTTTCCTCCCGGTCTTCCCATTCACAGCTTTCTGCTAGACACACTTCAACAGTGGTGGCCTTGTCCACTCTGCCCAGCAGATCAGAGGTCAGGGCAGACATGATCTGAACAGTCAGTCCTGATGACAGACGCCCGCACCTCTCTGAATTTCCCCAGGAATGGACTCTCACCCTCACTTTCTAAGTGCAGAAGGAGAGCCTCTGGCAGCAAGGGCGACTTTGCAAGCCTGCACACCTGGTGTGTGCCACAAGTCGGATGCACAGCCGAGCAACCAGACTCCGAGCTGCTCCACGCAATCAGTCTGCCTCCAACACGTGTCACCCCACCAGGGCACTGCCCCAGGCCCCAGGGGAGCCTGCAGGTGCTCTGTGGAGAACCAGCTTTGGGTTAAGGGCCTGTGTTTGCAAGCACCACCAGTGTAGACTCCCGCTGCGGCGAGGTTGAACAGAGTCACGGTTACGTACACGGCTCAAACAGCTCTACAGCCAGCCACAGTCAGAGAGAGGCGTTAGTGTGTTAGCAAAGGACCTTCCTGCCACAGAAGTACAGGGATGAAGAGGACAGCGGGCAGAGAGACACCCATGGGAGACACCCCTTCCTGGCCACCCTCCCATCTGTTCGCCAGAGAAGTATATTTGAAGGGTGAACGACAAGTGTCAGATGCCAGGTTTTGTATTTTGGAAGGGAATGACGCACCGCACTGACCAAGTTATGTCCTCACTCAGACAGATGCACACTAGCTCCCTAGTCTTCCCATTGGAGACCCACGGACTCCAGCGGCCCCGTATGTGTGTGGGCAGCCCACTCCAGAACTCCAACAGAGGACAGTCTAAGTGCGGTGCTGGGGAGAGGAGCCTGGGGTCCCAGGAGGCAGCATGCAGCTGGGCACAGAGAGAAAGGAGGTGTGTGTTTACCTGACCGTCGGGCAGTCTGTCCTCCCAGCTACTTGTGAGCACTGTGGCGGTACGGAGGGAGCAGGCTGCTGACAATCTACAAGAAACTGATAAATTAGGCATGGATACAAAGAGACGGCACAGCAAGGTGTTAGTAACAAGAACTAGAGCGGCTGCGGCGAGATTTAGTGAGGAATGTGCATCACCGGAAACAGCTTCCTGAGGAGCCCCTGCCCCAGCCCCAGTGTTGCCAGTAAGAAGAGACAGGCCTTTGTTCTCTCGTAATTAAAAGCAGCGTTACACAATTAGTGACATAAAATTAGTAGCGAGACTTCTCCAGTGCATTAGGACAGACGTGGCCATTTCTATTTGTTGCTTTGGTAGTATATAAAAATAAAGGGTCTGTTGAAATCACAAAAGACCTTCAGATTCTGAACTTGAACATGCCAGTGGCTCCTCGCTCAGCACTATGACCTGCTATTCACTGTCAATCCCATCAGGACATGGAAAAAGGCATGTTGTCCACGACAAATGGAAGGATATTGCACAAGGAAATCATCTTTGTAATTTCCTGAAAATGGATTTCATAGGTTGAAACCAAGACTGGTTAACAGAAATCTTAGCATGTTTATCAGGCAGTAAATTGTTAGGAACTTGGATTGATGGAGACAGGAACTCCAGTTGGCTCTGTTTTCACCATTTCCAAGTCACATCCTGTAACTCATGGGAGGTCACCCAAGTGCTAGCCAGCAGAACTGCACGCTTCACTGATGGGAGATGGTAATCATTGACTCCGAGAGCGGCTGTGTGCCTGCCTGGTGTCCTAACCACAGCCAACGAGCAGACTGTTTGCTACTACCAGCCTGCCTGTACCACAAACACCCAGGAAGTGAGGTAGAAATTCATATGTTATTATTTCTGCAGAAAGATTTTAGCAAGCAAGTTAAAAAGCTACGTTAGACTTAAAAATATTCTTTAATAATGTATTTCCTGTTGCTAACTGTGTAGATAGACTATGTATCTGCTAAGGAAATCCCTTGTTTGAGTCAAATGATCACAAATTCTGGATCCACAGCCTTGGGGCTGTGGGGTTCTACGAGGACCTACCTTTAAAAGTGCATAGTCTCAGTTTCATTTCTTCTAAACCCAGTCTAATCTGTTGTAACACACCCGCCAAGTGAACTCCAGAATACTGACATTCATGAAAACAGCTGATGCTTCTCAGATGCTGGGGACGCACTGCAGCTCTCTGTGATAAAACTAGAAGTCAGCCTAAGGCAGGCTCGGTGCAGGTGCATGCGAGAGAACCCCATCACGGAGCAGACTCTTCTCCGCGCTCTGCCCTGCTTACAGACGGGAGAGAGGAGGCAGGCTTCCTGTTGAGTGGCTCATCCTCCCCAGGAAAAGCATCTCCACGGAAACACATTCATGTGCTCAGATTCGGGGGATTCTGTTCTCTCCCTTTAATTCTCGTTTCCCATTTTGTACCTTGATTGGCTCCAGTGATTTGCTTTTGTAGAAACTGAGAGCCTTAGGGGAGGCATTTGTTTGTCTTTCTAGATCCCTGCTCCTTTGACCTCTCCCAACGCCCTGCCTATGTGAATGGTGACTTAGGAATGCGTGGATTGATTCACACAACTGTTCTGAGCAGGCGCCAGTCAGGCAGGCATGTGCTGCCCTCTGCTGGTGGACTTGGGTAAATGATGTAGAGAAACCTGCAATGCCAGGCAGTGAGGTTTCTGCTGAGCGGAGGCCAACCTCTGTGGAATGGGATGCTGAGAATCCAAGGCTGACAATGGCACAGGTCTTCTGCACCTCTCACTTATCTTACAAATACCTTGCTTTGCCAGGGCAGACTGTGGCTCACTCAAAACACACTTTGTGATGAAATAGGGACACTCAGGACCACGGTGTACTGCAGTTCACTCTGGCGTGCAGTAGATGCGCTTACATCTGGAGTGGGCATTGCTGCCTCTTTCTTTAGAACTAACACTGCCTCCGGCTAGTTAGGCAGGTTTTTGCATGTGTTATTCATAAGCACTGATTGATCTAAGTGTTGCCCTTAAGGGAATAAAAAGCCAGTTCCATAGATAAGCTAATGTAGATGAAAAAACTCAACTAAAAAAAAGAACCTACACTATTGCTCTGACTCAGCTGTCAAGCCCTCCTGGGGTCCACAGCCCACCAGTCCTGCTCACTTCCAGCCCCACCGGGTGGCGGGAGGGACCTGAGATGTTGCGAGTGCTGGCTCCTGACTGACTGACCGAGACAGACAGACACGCTCCATGAGCAATTACAATAAAGCGGCACGATGATGACGATGATGGTGACGATGGTGACGGTGACGATGGTGACGGTGACGTGAGGTGACAACTATGACACCAGGTGTGCCCTGTGGAGGCGCTGAAGATGCATGTTCTCCTTGGATTCTGTCTTTCTGATCCCAATTTACAGGGCAGAAAGAGAGGAATTCTGTTAAGTTAACGAAGTCCACTAAGGTGGAGATGGCATTTGCTGATCGCTATGATAGGGGAAGTGCAACTAAATTACATTAGAATAAGCCTAACCAAGCTCATCTACATCTAGGTGGCCAGGGAACACTCCCCAGAGAGGGTGACACTGGAGCTGGCACCTGAAAAAATCCGTCAGCCAAACTGTTTCCTAGCAACCACAGTTGGTGGCCTCGATTAATTAAATTGAGACATTTTATCATCAACTTAAAGGGTTTAGGATTATCCTGGCCTTCCATAGCCAGGATTTGTGTAAGCTTAAAACCATAAGGCCTGCAGAGTGTCACAGCACTCCCAAAAGATTGTCAGTGTCCCAGGAACAGGGACAAGGCACCTCCGGGCTGCAGGTGTGTCCTGATGCACACAGCAAGGGCAGCTTCCCATGACAAGGGACAGGAAGGTGGACGAGAACGCACGCACGGTGGAGGAGAGCACTCGCTGGGCCAGCAGGATGCGATCTCTCCACTACGTTAACCACCGGGTGTAAGTCCTGGCGACACTCCGCAGTTTCTATTTCCACTGTTGCCACGATGAGGGAAAGAAGAGCTTCTGGCACCTGGGGCTGTATGAGTCTCGCGTATACCGTAAGGCTAACTTCTCTGGCGTTTCTCATGTTGTCTCCCGCCAGGAACAGACAGAGCCTGGCATCACAGGACACGCTGCTCAAACTGCGACTGCTTCGATCACTCCCTGACCACCGTGCACATGAAGGGGGTGGAACAATGATTAAGCATAGACTTTTCAGAGGAAATGGTCCATTTTCTACTCGATCCTCTGGCTCCCTCTCCAGCTGACACCAGTGACTCCCAGAATTATCAGGGTCATAGAGTCAAGGAAACAAAACTGAACTACGCCTCCAAGGCACCAAACAAGACCAAGCGTATGGGAATGGGATCCCATCCGGTTTTTAAACAAATGTGGCTGAGGGTCACATATTTCACTGGAAGCGAGAGAAAGCTGGCCACGCAGTTCTCTCTCAGGCTTCTGTTTCTAAATGACTCCATGCAATTGCGAAAATTAGCCAATGTGCTGAAATCCAATGCCTGAAGGAATCCAGGAGCCCGGTGTGGCTGGCTGGGACAGAAGGGAGAACCTTGTGTGGACGGAGTCAAGGAGGCAGGAGCGTGGCTGGGCACCGGCCCCGTGCAGCAGTGGGAGTTGCTGAGGGTCCCGTGAGTGAGGCTCACATGCAGAGCCGCACCCAGCCGGGGGACAGGGCAGGGCTGGCGGCTTCCAGGGGGTCTGGCACTGGGGCAAAGCAGTCCTTCTTTGTGGCAGGTGGTCTCCTACTGCACGGCCCACACCCCACCCTTCTGTTTTGCTGACCTGAGAACTAAGGCATGCCTTCCTCTCTGAGATGCTATATTCCATACCACCCCTCCCTCCCTTGGGACCACAAACTGCTGGGTGCTGCCCTCTGTCGCCTGGGGACTCTTAAGGCCACAGAATCCAAGTTCTTCCTTAGCAGGTATCATGTCTGCTTCCTCGGCTCCCCCTGGGGTGTAAAGCCCTCCAGGGAGCAGGTGTGCCGAGGGCAGCCACGTGTGCAGACCGTGGCTGGCGGACATCAGCAGGGCTCAGTCTGGTCTGGTCTGTCAGACATCCTAACTCTAAGTCCATGAAAGCAGCACGGCTTTTGCAGCAGCGACATCGCACTGCTGCTGCAGGCTGCGTTTGCTTGGCGTGCGAATGGCGGCGCTGAGTCATCACGGATGGCGGTGCTGAGCCATGCTCCCTCCATCCTGCACTGCTGCTTTTTAGAATTTCAGGTACTCCTGTGATCCCATCCCCTTTGTGCTAATCCCTAACACATTTCATCTCTTCCTCTCCAACGCCGCTGCGGGATCCTCTTCTGTCATCTAGCATTTAACTGCCTCTCCCAGGTCTCTCTCTCTCAAATAGGAAAATGTGATCACCGGGACTGGTGACTGCGGTATCCCTAACTCAGATAGGGCCAGGCTGAGCAGAGTTCTCGCTGTTTGAATATCAATCAGTGAAACATGACCTCTGCACAGGTCATTCACCCAGATTTGAATCCGAGCGAGCGAGTATACTATCATCTAGAACTGATCTCTCCATCTGTATCAAGGGTATTAAGAGAGACCTGCTGGTTAGTCTGGCGAACTTCAGGGACACGATGTTACCACTCTCCTTTGGTTTCACGAGACAGGGAACTAGGGTTGTCCAGCACGAGCCATTCTGCTTTCCCCAACTGTCCCGTTTATCAGACACAGAAAACCCATCCATTTCCAGAAATTTCCCCAAGGTCAGCTTCAAGGTCGTCAGTCTGTTCTTTTCTACTGGATGAAAAGGCAAACGCATCGAGGGGTTTGCTCTGACCCCACCTGCCCCGGCCCTGCCGTCTCTTCCTGTCCTCGCAAAGTCCCTGACTCTGAGCAACACTGCTTCAAGAAGAAAAGTGACAGGGACCAGGGTGTGTGTGTTCCTCCCTCATGGCGAGGACTTCAAAAAAATCAGGAAAAATGGAAATGAAAAAGTAACTTCAGGGTGATGCAAAAAAATTTGAAATCCAGGCAGTTTTTTCATCACACACGCTTTCTGTGATCTTTTTAGAGACCCCTCATAA